TTTCCTTCTCTTTGGTACCCTACCAAAAGTCACATCAACTCTTTCTAATTGATAATAAATGGATTTTGGCCATAGAAGCATACTCATGACATATGTGGGTATATGTTGAGCAATTGATCATTATGATCTGTTTGCCTACCTATGATTGTTTTGTAAATTTATCATATTGGAGCTTCTTTGAGATACTTAAGACAAAAAATAAAAAAAAAAAGTAAGGAAATCTATCCATCAAAGTTAAAAAAAATATTTAACATGTGCATCAACCATTTGAATACCCAACAAGTTTTAAAGTGGACAACAAAACTGTGTCAATAGCCCTTCGAAAAGACAATGAAAGACTTGCCTAAATTAATACCTTGTCTAAAAGCCTCTGCATATCTCCTCAAATCTTTGAATAACATTTACTTTAGAACTAGTCGCCCTTTTGAATATTAAGTTATCATCGGCAAAGAACAAATGCAAGGTGTGGTTGTCACATAGAAACAATTAATCAGAATGTCAAAGTCTAAAAGTAAAATTCTAGCCCACTTATTAATTCCAAATTTTTACAGTACACTAAAAAGTATTGCTAAATCTTAATGTTATCAATAAGAAAAAATCAAACATATTTTATGAGAGATAAGTAGACTTAATATACTTTATTATCCTAACCGCATGTACATGTAAAAGATTTCTAAAACAAAGATTTTGTTCAAATTTTTAAATATTTAAGATTAGAGGTATTGCCAATTTAACCACTCATATCTCGTTAGGGAGTTGCTTTCATCATCTTCATGAATGTATTTTATATTTGCAAAAGAAAAAAAAAATTGTTTTCTCCTCTTTTTTTATTCTTAAGTTTAAATTTTACTTTTTGTTTTTATCTCTTTGATCTCTTACCTTAATTTTGTACTTTCCCCAACAATTAGTATTATTATCTATTAATAAAAATATATAAACATAATATCCATATAAAAAAATCATTGGGAAACCTTAAGAAATTTGAGGAATTTGCTATTATGTACGTGATATTAACATGTTAGTTCTTTTCTTACTAGCCAACAAAAAGACATATTTAAGTAACATGTAATTAATGAAAATTTTTTATTCCATATGGGCACTATTAATAAATAAATAAAATTATATAACATAAGTGAGTAAAAATATTAATATATTTAATTTTGTACAAAATTTAAAATATATATAATATGTAATGTATAATCAATTTTCAAATATTATTTGAATATAGTTAGAATAAATTCTGAAATTTTCATTTAATGTACTTAAAGAAAATTATTAAATAGATACAACAAAGTTCGAATATTATATATATATATATATATGACACACTAGCTGCATAAATTATTAACATGCACAAGTTTCATAGTACATGCACGCATATGGTTCTATTTTCGATGTTAAATTTTCTTAAGAATTTATTAATCTTTCCAACATCCAAGTCTTTTTTTAACAGAGTCTTGACAATGGAATTATTTAAATGTGACGATTAAGAAGCAAAAACAAAACGACAAACACAAAAATGTTGACGACTTGGCAGAATGTAAGCAAAGACAAAAGAAGTTGTAGGAATGGTAAAAGAACATTATGTCATATGTTAAAAAGTTGGTAATTCAAATTTGAATTTGATTATTTCATTTGAAAAATTAAAAATTTATTCATTCTTTAAATCTATTAATCTCAACTCTAAAATTAGAAATTTACTAGTTCTTTGAATCTAATAATATCACTTTTTAAATATAAATTAATATAAGGTACAAATCCGTAGTACCTACTATAGAAGTAAAAAGATGTAAATTTAAATATAATAATTAAAAAATAAATTTACTATTATTTAAGAATAAATTTTGAGAAAAAAAAAAGTAAAGAGAAGGGAATGCTTTAGAAGAGAAAGAGTTAGACCACTGTGGAGGAGAAAATTTTATTAAATTTCATTTATTTTAGTTGTATCTATTTTTTGCTAAAACTCTTTATTCTTAAATTTTGATTTTTTTTAAAAAAAAATAGTATATATTTTAAAAATTAAATATTATTATAACAATCTATAATCTTAACAATTGCACATTTTGAAATTAAAAAAAAATATATAGAAATCTCAACCTATCATCAAAATGAAGAGGGTGAACTTATTTCTTCCTCTTAAATGTGAGACATGAGAATAATTATTGTTAAAGGCTAATAAATACATCTAAAGTTAGACAGCTATCGATTCTTATGACTAAAATTAATCTATACTTTATTTTTTATCATAAACTAAAGTTGATGTGCAATGAACTTATAATAGATTATGGTTTACTCACTATTAAATATGGCCTGTAGTTACACAAAAAGCTTGTCTATGTCTTGCTAGGAAAGATTTTATTTAATAATCAAGTAATGAACTCTATTGAAAATTTTATTGATGGATAAGTAATGATCAAAAATTAAGAAAAACCTAAATGATTTATAGTATTAATGACCCTCTTACTAATTATGTAAAACATAAACTTCATTAACATGGCTAGCAATGAGGGATTTCAATGGGACGTTATCTAAAAGGAGTAACAACTAACTACATGCTAGGTCACCCAAAAATCAATTTAAAGAGGTGGTGAATACTTTACAATTGATTAACTTGGGATCCGAAAGGAACGCGTTTATATGGTCAAATAAAAGGAGTAATATTGTAAATATTCAAGATCAGGTAGAGGTTAGTGAGCTTTCAATGGAGGCTAATATAAAAGCAAATAAAACCAAACTAGAATTGAAAAATAATTAAAACCTAACCGTTTAAAGGGGATCAATTTAAGTAGTTCTTTCAATTAAATAAGTAGGGAGCATAAAATTGGTTCCTTACGTTATTCATTTTTTTTCACAATTTTGATAACCAAAATCAAACCATAATTGATCAAAAATTATTTTTAAATAAATATTATAAATAATTATTTAATTTATAAAGTTAAAAATATATAATTGAGAAAAAAAAAACCCTAAGAAAAGTTCATTATCTTTTGAGTTTTTGCTACGTCCTTCTTTCACACGCACGTAAAACTTCTTCCTCCACTTTTATGGTCCCCTTTTTTTTTATTTGTTCTCTATTGATAGCACGATAACTCAACCATCATTTTCATTAGTCTCCTCCTTTCCTTCATAGCGTGAAAAATGCAGTTCCAGATAATAGGTAAGCACTAATACAAGTTATGCAGCCATAAGAAGTTTTCTACCTTTTCTCAGACACTAGTACTAGCTTCAAATCGCTAACTCCAACTGTCAATAATTACGTTGCTCAAAGTCAACGACCCACCAAGTAATAAGCCATAAAAGGACGAAGGTGATCTTGTGTCGTGACTAGGAACTTTACAATTCGTATTTTTTAATGAATTAAATTCTTCTAGTATTTTAATCATTTAACTTTTATATTATATATGATTACAATATATGTATGTATGTCAATCTATGTTGTTTAAAAAATTTTAACGTAAATGTGGTGTATAAAAAAAATAAAAAATTAGGTAATAGAATTCAGCTTTTTAGTGTTAACCGAATTGATTTGGTCATTTCAATTTCAGTTCTCCCTCTTAATTCAATCAATTTAGTTCGGTTAAACTATTTTAGTTTATTTTTTTTAATTTAGAATCTTTTAACTGAACCAATCATTTACTCACTCCTTGTCTATTATTTTCAAAACCTATTTTTTCTACTAACCTACTAACTTCTCGAATCAATAATTCTTTAACTATTTTCACTGCATCTACAACTCTTCAAAATACAATAAGAAAGAAGTTTGAATTTGGGAAGAGTTTGGGTATAAGGTAAAATCAAATCATGTAAAAAATACATGAGATCTCTTAGTTTTAGGCTCTCCTGATGTCTCATCGGAAGCCTAACATCTTAGTTTGCAAAAGATTGATTGCTGCCTTTGGAGGGCTCATCCCTATTAGCAACCCTTCTATGATTTGATTTTTATTGGCATTAGAAGCATCATTTTCTTGGAACTTTAAAGTATGTATATCTTAAGCTATAATAATTGTAACCACATAGATATATAATTAAGAAGTAAAAATGCAAATATTAAAAAAAAATTAAAATATTCTAATAATTTTTTATAGTGAAATGATAAATCAAATTTTTAACATGTTATAATTATCTCAACTAAAAGAATCTAATTGTAATAGACTATGTTTTTGGCTCAAAAATATAATAAGTTTACTGAAAATTAAGTTAATTCTGTCACTGTAATCTCATCAACATACTACTGAAATAAATTCTTAATTTTATCGAGTTAAAAATTATCAACTAATCATTATTAATGTATAATACATCCACAAAATACAAGTTTTATATTTATAATAAATTCATACTTATAACATTTAAATAAAATACAAGTTCTTAAAAAAATATGCTAACAATTAAAAAATGAATCATATTTATAGTACACATGAACATAGAATTTGGGCACTTAGTCTTAGATTCCTAAAATAACAACCCTAATAAATATTGTAGCTAAAAAACGAGGGAGAGAGAAATATAAAAGGATTAAAAAAAACAAATAAAAGGTATAACCACCGTCCTCCATAGCTTGAGTAATATACTATTCCCTTTTTTATAATTAATTATTATCGTACAAGGCAAGAGATGCCGAATATAATATTAATATATTATTTATTTTATATAATATTTACAAGTTTAGTAATCTGGGGCAAAGCAACAAACAACAATTTTTAGCTGGTGCAGTAGGCGCTCAAAGTGGGTCCCAGTAAGGCATCCGTCGTCATTAATGACGCTACCGGAGTGAGAAAATTTAAGTCAACCGTGATCTTCTCCCTTTGCACATGTTCATCAAGCTTAATATTTTATATATACCATGGACCCGCCTGCATGCGATCACCAAGGTTACTGGCTAGCCATACACATTGATTTTTTACTTTTTAGAAAACATTATTTTTTTATTTTTTTATTTTGGGTCATCTATTTATTTATTGCGTGTGGATATATATATATGCGCAGTGGTGTGAGCCCGGGAACGCAAGTGTATATGCATGACATATCCTCTGTATTTGTTTGTATTTCTACTGAGTGATTGAAATTAAAAACTGTAGTTTTGTTGACGAGCGACACACGAGAAAATCTATAGTTGTAGTAGTTGTCTTCTTGTTCGTTTTTCTTCTCTGAAGATGGGGGAAGAAAAGAAAGGAAGTATGGTGGAAAATAGGAAGAGGAAATTTGGGTCTCTAAGTTCTATTTTCATGCATGCGGATGGTGTAGATTGGTTGTTGATGACTCTGGGGTTCATCGGATCTGTTGGTGATGGGTTCAGTACTCCTTTAATTTTGCTTATCACTAGTAAGTTGATGAACAATCTTGGTCAGGCCCCAAGCATGACATCTCATAACTTTACTGATAGCATTAACAAGGTCTTTCTCTCTCTCTTTCTCTCTCTCCATATATATATAATAGATATGTGCATATGTCTGTGTTTGATCAAAAATAAAGAAGCTAACTGGGATTGATTTTGGTGGGTGACAGAATGCGGTGACCTTGCTGTATTTGGCATGTGGGGCATGGGTTGTTTGCTTTCTAGGTATGTTAGTATATGAAATGGTGAAACTTTCTCTCTCTCTTTCCTTCTATTGGGTTAAGATGATCATGAATTTTCCCTTTTTGTTTATTTTATGGTTAGAAAAACTAATTGTTTTTAATCTTCTTCTGTCCGTTTTCTTGTTTTGTTTGTAATCATGAATTTTCCCTTTTTGTTTATTTTAATGGTAAGAAGAACTAATTGCTTTTAACCTGATTCTGTTTGTTTTCTTGTTCTGCTCTTAAAGAGGGATATTGTTGGACAAGAACAGGAGAGAGACAGGCGACGAGAATGAGAGCAAGATACTTAAAAGCGGTTTTAAGACAAGAAGTTGCTTATTTTGATTTACATGTAACCAGCACTGCTGAAGTCATCACAAGTGTCTCCAATGACAGCCTCGTTATTCAAGATGTCCTCAGTGAAAAGGTAACATATATATATTCATATATATTATAATACTTAATTTACTTTCAAGATTAATAAGATGGGTTCAATTAAACTACAGCTACCAAACTTTTTGATGAACGCTTCAATATTCATCGGGTGCTACCTGGTTGCATTTGTGCTGCTATGGAGATTAGCGATTGTTGGGTTTCCTTTTATTCTGTTGCTAGTTATACCTGGTTTGATGTACGGTCGAGCTTTGATGAGTATTGCAAGAAAGATGAGAGATGAGTACAACACGGCTGGCTCCATTGCAGAGCAGGCAATATCTTCTATAAGGACGGTTTATGCTTTCGTCGGTGAAAATAAAACAATTATAGAGTTCTCTGAAGCTTTAATGGGGTCTGTCAAGTTGGGACTCAGACAGGGTTTGGCTAAAGGTTTAGCCATCGGAAGCAACGGCGTCGTTTTCGCCATATGGTCATTCATGTCTTATTACGGTAGTCGAATGGTCATGTACCACGGTTCTCTGGGCGGGACTGTCTTCATGGTCACCGCCGCTATTGCCATGGGCGGCCTGTAAGTTCACATACATATGTATATACATACATACACCTTGTTTTTTCTCATATTATATACATGCAGGGACTTACATGTGTATATTGGTTATAGGTCACTAGGGGGTGGATTATCGAACCTGAAGTACTTTTCTGAGGCATGTTCGGCGGGTGAACGGATAATGGAAGTGATAAAGAGAGTACCGAAGATTGATGCAGAGAACATGGAAGGAGAAATACTGGAAAACATAACAGGGGAAGTGGAATTCAAGAATGTGGAATTTGCATATCCGTCAAGACCAGAAAGTATAATCTTGAAAGATTTTAGCCTGAGAATTCCAGCAGGTAAAACAGTAGCATTGGTGGGAGGGAGTGGATCAGGCAAGTCGACAGTGATATCACTGTTGCAGAGATTTTATGATCCACTACGAGGAGATATTCTTGTCGATGGGGTGACCATTGATAAGTTGCAGGTGAAGTGGGTAAGGTCACAAATGGGTTTGGTGAGTCAAGAACCAGCACTTTTTGCAACCACCATTAAAGAAAATATCCTTTTTGGTAAGGAAGATGCTACAATGGAGGAGGTTATTGAAGCTGCCAAAGCTTCTAATGCTCATAATTTCATTTGCCAGTTGCCACAGGGATATGATACCCAGGTTTGTCCTCTTCAGCCCCCGCATATATATATATATATATATATGTATATATTATATTACATAGGGACTCAATTGAGAGATTCTTTTGGGATAATATGATTAGAATTATATTCTTGTTACTTTGTTTTTAATAAAAAAATCATAAATTATATTTTTAATATAATTTTTTCTGAATAAATAATAATTAAAAGTGCATTAATTTTTTAATTTTGTATATTTAATTAACTTAGTATAATTAGACATCAAAAGTAAGATGATCTTGTAATGAAAAATGATTAAAGGTACCTCAATAATGGAGGTATTACCTTTTTTTTTTTCATTAGATTTAAAAGAATTAAAAGACAAAATTGAGGTCAAAATTGAAGGAATCACCATTATAATGGCATTGATGCCCATTTATGCGTTATATCCAGAGATTATTTATTTATTTTGTTTTGGATTTTTGCTTTGGAAGTGTTTACTTCTGTTTATATAAACAATGACAGTCCCCATTCATGGCCCCACAAACTACCTCTTGCCTCTGCAAGTGCTTCCCCACTTCTTGAAATGCGCACCCATTTTTACGATTCACCTTTTTCCTTCATTCAGTTTGAAAAAAATCTTATTTTGCAGTTTCTGTAAACTCTCTCTCACACTATTATATTTATTATGTATGTATATATAGATATATGCACACATGCATGTTGTGCATTCCCAGTGACACACACCCAATTTTCAAGGTTTCCACTTTAAAAACCCTTTACAATGTTTGCATCACATGTAGAAGACCATGAAAGAGAGGGAGAATAAAACATGATGGAAAAGATAGAATGCTCAGCTGTTAAATTAATCATTTCTTAATTAGAGGATTTATATTTTAATCTTACTCTATTAACAATATAAATCTAGATCCAATTATAGAATTATTCATTATGTTTTTCCTAGATTTATTTTCGTGGAAGCATGTATGGAAGTAGTTAATCATAATAATGGAATAAATGGGCAGGTGGGGGAGAGAGGAGTGCAAATGTCAGGAGGACAAAAACAGAGAATCGCCATAGCTCGAGCGATAATCAAAGCACCAAGAATCCTTCTCCTTGACGAGGCCACGAGCGCATTAGACTCCGAATCCGAAAGAATCGTCCAAGATGCTCTCGACAATGCCGCCGTCGGCCGCACTACCATCATCATCGCTCACCGGCTCTCCACCATCCGCAACGCCGACCTCATCGCCGTCGTCCAGTCCGGCCAAGTCATGGAAACCGGTTCCCATCACGACCTCATGCAGCAACCAAACGGCCTCTACACTACCCTCGTCCGCTTACAGAATCAAACCCTTAACGAACCTGACCAGCCCATTAATCCTTCGTCTATAACAAACACAGACGCAAACAATACCAGCAGCCGGAGACTGTCTTTGGTTAGCCGGTCAAGCTCGGCGAACTCGTTCGCTCATAGCCGACGTTCTCTGGGTGACGCAGACGAAGATACGAGTCGGCGACATGAAAAATTCCCTGCAGTCTCTTTCAGGAGATTACTGGCGTTGAATCTGCCAGAGTGGAAACAAGCGTCGTTGGGCTGCGTGAGCGCTGTCTTATTCGGCGCAGTGCAGCCGGTGTATGCGTTCTCGTTGGGATCCATGTTGTCGGTGTATTTCTTGACGGATCATGATGAGATCAAGGAGAAGACGAGGATTTACGCACTGTTTTTTGCAGGGTTGGCGGTATTTTCACTTGTAGTCAACATCAGTCAGCATTACAATTTCGCGTACATGGGTGAGTACTTGACAAAGAGAATCAGGGAAAGGATGCTGTCTAAGATTTTGACTTTTGAAGTTGGCTGGTTCGATCAAGACGAGAACTCAAGTGGTGCCATTTGCTCTAGACTCGCCAAAGATGCGAACATGGTACGTTCAAAATTAATTTATTAATTAAAATTTTTAATTAGTTTATGGTAATTAAGTTAATTGATTGATTAATTAACTCATTAATTATTTAATCACCATCTTTTGTCTTTACTTTTCATTTTCTTAAAAACATGCATGTCAATGTCGGGATGGGAACAGCTAAACCAAGTGGGATAAAAGTTTTGCATATAGAATAAAATAAAAAAAAACAAAGCATGTAGAAAAAAGGAAAGCAGGCTCACGTGTAAAAATAACTTAAATTTGTATTAAAAAAGCACCGAAATCCAATTATTGTAGCACAATGATGGTTTTATCAATTGGATTGTTTTCCATTAGAATTTCATTAATCATATGATAATGAATCATCACTTAAATGGATTGATAATAATGATATAACAAATTAGTTCTAAAATATTGTAATGTCACTTAATTATGAATATGAAAGCATTATTACATGCATCTTATTAACAACTATTGTATTTTCCTCTAATTAACTTATTAAATGAAATGAAGTACTAGGACTATGTTTTGTTAATTAGTGCATTTAGTTTTTATATTTTTAAGTTGTGTTAACTAACTAAAAGTGTAAAATATTTAATAGGTGAGATCTTTAGTGGGAGATCGCATGGCGCTTCTTGTGCAAACCATTTCAGCTGTAACCATAGCTTGCACTATGGGCCTGGTCATTGCATGGAAGCTAGCCATTGTCATGATAGCAGTGCAACCCTTGATAATTGCTTGCTTTTATACTCGTCGTGTTTTACTCAAGAGCATGTCTAGAAAGGCTATCAAAGCTCAAGATGAAAGCAGTAAACTTGCCGCTGAGGCAGTCTCCAACCTTCGAACAATCACTGCTTTCTCATCACAAGATCGAATTCTCAAAATGCTTGAAAAAGCCCAAGAAGGGCCAAGAAGAGAAAGCATTCGACAATCATGGTATGCTGGCATTGGGCTTGGTTTCTCTCAAAGCCTTACATCATGCACTTGGGCCTTAGACTTTTGGTATGGTGCTAAACTCATGGCCCAAGGCTTCATCACTGCTAAGGCCTTATTTCAGACCTTTATGATCTTGGTGAGCACTGGTCGGGTCATTGCCGATGCTGGAAGCATGACTACTGATTTAGCCAAAGGCTCAGAATCCATAGGATCAGTTTTTGCAGTATTAGATCGATATACGAACATTGAACCAGAAGACCCAGAAGGCCATCAACCTGAAAAGATAATTGGCCACATCGAGCTACGTGATGTTGACTTTGCATACCCGTCTCGACCTAATGTTATGATCTTTAAGAACTTTTCCATCAAAATTGAAGCAGGCAAATCAACAGCATTGGTGGGTCAAAGTGGGTCTGGCAAATCAACAATCATTGGCTTAATTGAGAGATTTTATGATCCACTAAAAGGAATAGTGAAAATTGATGGTAAAGACATCAAGATATATCATCTAAGGGCATTAAGGAAACATATTGCATTAGTAAGCCAAGAGCCCACACTATTTGCTGGCACTATAAAGGAAAACATCACTTACAGTATGTCCAACAAAATGGATGAATCAGAGATCATCGAGGCTGCAAAAGCAGCCAATGCTCATGATTTCATTTCATCATTAAAAGATGGTTATGATACATGGTGTGGGGATAGAGGAGTGCAATTATCAGGAGGCCAGAAACAACGAATTGCAATAGCTCGTGCAATACTACGAAATCCAATGATTTTATTGCTAGACGAGGCCACAAGTGCACTTGATAGCCAATCAGAGAAAGTGGTACAAGATGCGTTAGAGCGTGTGATGGTGGGGAGAACTAGCGTGGTGGTGGCCCATAGGTTAAGTACCATTCAAAATTGTGATTTAATTGCTGTTTTGGACAAAGGGAAAGTTGTGGAGAAAGGGACTCACTCATCTTTAATGGCCAAGGGGCCAAAAGGAGCATATCACTCATTGGTCTGTCTTCAAAGAACACCGACAATACTACTCACACTTTTAACTAAAAAAATAGTGTTATA